ATAAAAAGAAAATATTGCATGAGCAAAGTTCATTGTTGATCGAGGTTAAAGAATTGGAGAAGAAGTTAATGTTTACACATATTTTTAGTTTTTCTCTTGGTAATTTTGACTTGGTTAGGTTTCAAACAAAAAGAGCAATCAGAAGTTATTTCAATCATATACTCATTATAGAAAAATTTTAATGAAAAGAAGTAATAGTGATGATTTTTTTATCAAGTTGACTAATAATTAAGATTGTTAAGAAAATGAAATGTGAAAATTGAAACTGAACACACACTCCGTAACAAAGGACTGGAATTTGTCTATTGCCTTATATCAAGTCATAACTTTCGAATGGACAAAACATTAGACTAAAAACAACTTTGAGTGCACAAACTCAAATATCTTGAAAACATGATTATATGGAGGCTTAGAGAGAGAACCAAAACTATATTTATCCCTCCAAATATACGTTGAGAGATATTCCAAGTTCATTCACATTATAGAAATTTTTTAATGAAACGAAGTAATAGTGATGATTTTTTTTATCAAGTTGACTAATAATTAAAATTTGTAAAAAAATGAAATGTGAAAAGTGGAATTGAATACACCCTCCGTAACAGAGGACTGGAATTTGTCCATCGCCTTATGTCAAGTCATAACACAAAACATTAGACTAATAACAACTTTGATTGCACAAACTCAAATATCTTGAAAAACATGATTATATGGAGGCTTAGAGAGAGAACTAAAACTATGTTTATCCTTCCACATATACGTTGAGAGATATTCTAGGTTTTTTCACATAACAACCTAAGTTCATTCACAGAACAACAAATGGACACAAAAGTATGTATAACAACTAGTGGATATGTCCTATATTCACCAATACGATTATATGACCTTATGGTTATGCGGTGTCCATGCGTGTGTTTGGTGTCCATGGGTGTGTCCGGTGTCTATGAGACAGTGTCGATGAGACATTCTGTCCATGTTGTATGTCCACTGTCCATGAGACTATGTCCATAACATTGTGTCCATATGGTGTGTCTATGGGAGTTGTTCGTCAGATGTGTCCATTTGAGTGTCTCCATGAGAGAATGTCCACTGCTACATCATCATTATATACCAAAATATCACAAATGCATAAATACATTTCATAATCAAGAGTTCTAAGTGATATCAAATTTTGCATACAAAAGTGATTTTCTATGAATATTTTATATGATCCATGTGGATATAGAATATTGTAAATGAATTTGATATTCTTGGCTATGAACTCATTGAGTATTTTAAGTTTTCCATGTGAATAAATGATTTTGTAAATAAATTTGATACAATATTTTCTTTCTCAAGAGTTCATTGACCATAAATTGTGATTTGTATTTGCAATATGTGATGCACAAAAACATGAAATTGACAACTCACAACATATGATTGTCTCCACGATTTGCTATTCATTTGTGTGTTCAGAGATTGCTATCTTTTTATGTGTCCATGTTTTAATGTCTATCTATTCATTCACGATTTGCTGTCTTGATTTTACAAGTCCCTGCAATCGGGTTGTGTTGAGTGAATTATCGGACTTTGACTAGCAGAGATTGAAGAAATGGCAGAGGAACCAAGAAGTTAGGTAATGATCATTTGATTGTGTCCACGGTTTGCTATCCATTGATTGTATCCACGGTTTGCTACTTATATGTATTATGTTCATAGTTTATGTCCAGAGATTGTTATCTTTGAGTGTATCCATTGTTTAATGTCTATTATCCATTCAAGAAGTAATCGAAAGAAAAAACGAGCTTGGTATTAGAGGGCTGTAAATGGATAAATGTTCAATGTGTAAGATACGTGTAATGGCAGGAAATGGTTGTAGTAATCTAAATATGGACAGCAGAGCATGGATGGTGAAGAGCATGTATGTGTTAGCAAACCGAAAATCTACCATGCAGTACTATGGTGATGTGAGGGCAATACTATGGATGATGACAAGCTGTAAACAAAAAAAAAAGAAAATCAAAGGCTATCAATTATGGACATCAGAGCATGGATGGTGACAAGAATGAATGTGTTTTCAAACAAAGAATCTAACATACGAGTGTGATGGATGCGAGGGCGAGACTATTAACAACCAAACGTGTATACGAAATTGAAAATGTGGATGCACACGAGCCGTATACAAAATTTATGAATAAGAATAAAGGAACATGTCCACAGAAACCTATTCATGAGTATATCAGAATCTGATATCCATGGCAATCTATTCATATAATACATGTCCACGTCGCTGAATTTTGTTGATCCCATTTCAGCCTTGACCAAGTCTACGAGAACCTGTCCACGTCTTGACAAATGACGATGGTTAGACATTAATGGATATAATATTTTGATGAACTTATTGTCTTCTTCGAGTGAAAGAGAGACTGAATTATCTTGCATATTGAAAAGAGGAATACTGGTGTATGTGGTAAATTTTACTAACAATCTAGCCATAAGCACCGTCATATTTAAAAGCAAAACAAATTCAAAATTAAGAAGATTATAATCTTTTGAATGATCTACAAACTTTAAGATGGAGAACACCATATCCAATTTCTTCTGTGATCAATAGATTCTGACTTTTTTAATGGTGGAGTAGATCTGATTTTAATGGTTGAGTAGATATATTAATGGTGGAATAGATCTGATTTTTCTGATAAAAGAATTGGGGATTTGTGGGTTCTGGCAAGACTATGTGTAGCTTCATCGATGACTGATATTTTTGAAGTGGGTTTTTTTCAGACTTATCACTGTCGTTGGAAATGAATCCGGGGTACTTTAATAATGGTGATAATAACTTAGAAGGTTTTGTTCGGCAATTTTTTTTGTTTGACGACAAAGAGAAATAAGATATCGTAAAAGTACAGATTAGTTATCGAACGAATATAATAAAAAAAAAGCATGTCCATTTTTCTATGTTAAGAAAGTGTATTACATGTTGAATATGTATAAACTTGTAAAGAAAGAGGAAAATAATGTTTCTGGACGTTATTATCTCATGATAAATATCATAAATATCTAAACAAAATGTGTTCAATGAAGTATAAAATAAAATAAGTGTGTGCAAGTGTAATTTTTTGAAAAAAATTGTGAACACATTTTTAATTACTTTAAGCTACAACTGTTATTTATTGGCAAACAAGTTGAGTTGTGGTTGAGAGTTATGATGGTTGATTACATTTTACTCTTTATGTGAATTTACTTTAATTATCCTTAATGAAATTAATAAATTAATATAATCTAATTTTTAAATAATTTTACGTTTTTTTTAAACTTAGATTTCCAAATTCGAGTTTATATCATAAAAATATTCAGTTTACTAAAAAAAAATAACTAGCATAAATAAAGAAAAAAACCTAATTATTTCATTAAACTAATTTTAATTTGATTATTTAACCTACTAATATTTTGACTAATCTAATTGATTTATGCGACCACAAGTAAAATTATAAATCATTTAAACTTTTTTAAAACTCTATCTATTTATTAATGTTAAGTTGGTATGAAACTAGGATCATTTGGTTTTGGTCATTTTGGATTGCTATTTTTGTACGCAAACTTTGAATTTCATTAATTTTAATCAACCAATTTACATCAAAAGAAGAAAATTATTTATCATGTTTGATAAATGCAACAAAAAAACAAAGGATACATATAAGTTTTTATCGAATGATATCAAAAATATTAAAAAATAGGATATAAATAATATATTTTGCTGTGTCACAAAAAATAATATACTCATGAAAATTGTATTTTCAAATATATTAAGTTTGGTTTTGAATAAATTTTCAATGAAGTATATGTATATATATAGCCCACTAGAACGAGTACAAATTAAAATTGAAAAGACCAATGACCCTAATACTTGTTTCTAACATTTGGATTACGCATAAGTACGGTCATTTTTCCAACACAAACAATCCGGTGGCGACTCTTTTTCTCCCCCAAAAGATTTCCAGAATTCTCCTGAATTGTCTCTTCATTTCTGTTTCTCTTTTTTTTTTTTGAATCTTCCCTATGAGTTATGACCGTTTGGGGACTGTGTCAGAACCCTTTCAGTTTCCTTTCTCTCACCGCTTCCCATTATATTCTTGCAGTTCACCCATTAACCTAAACCCTAAAACTTTTTCTCCTCTATTCTCCTTGTGGTCGATCAAAGTTTGGAGTTTCGTGGTGGATTTGTTGCATCTCTGCTTCGATTTTTGTCAGATCATTTGAAGAACTCTAGGAAGTAATTGGTGAGTCGTTCGTTTTGCGTTAGTTCCTCTATCCTTTCGATATATAAATATATTCATGTTATATGTTGTGTGAGTTTTATAAGCTTTCACTACAAGAAAACAGGTCTTTTTTCACCAAATTTCTGACCAAGTGTTTGATAAATAATAAATACGATGATTTATTGATCAAATTTCGACCACTATATGAATTTGATCAAAGGTCGATAATTTTTGTTGAAGATAATCATCAAAATTTGGACGAAACTTTCTGACCATATTCTAAGCAAAGTAATGATCGAAAATAAATCCCACTATTTAGTGATGAATTTCTGACCAAAATATGAATTTGATCACAAATTAGTCAAAAAAATTTGATGAATGAAGTTCATGGTGAAAAACGGACCTGTTTTCTTGTAGTATTTGTAGACTGAAAGCTTAAATCAATAATTTCTGTGTTGAATTAGCAAATTTTTTGTATTATTCCCTGCCTCGCTTCTTCCATCACTTTGTAGTGGATTTCAAAATTTCATTTTCGTTTCATTTGAGTTCATTGAAATTCGTTGTAAATATGTCTTTTTTTTCTTTTTCATATGCATATTTGGAGATGGATTTGTTTGTCAGATTTATGAGTTTTTAATTATATTGGTGTTATAATTTTGTGAAACATTGACTGTTGTTTCTGGCAATTGATGAGTGTTTACAATTTAATTGAGAATTTTTTTTAAAGTCGACTTTTGCTGGAAAATCGTTTTTTTTTATAGAGAGATGGAGGTTCAGAAGCAGACGAGTTTCACGTTTGAAATAGATAACTTCTCTGAGAAGGAAGGTTTGATACGATCTCCAACATTCTTAAGCGGCTGCTGCGAATGGTAAAGGCAAAACTTCTATATTGTGTTTTAATTTTTAGCTCATCCTCTCGGTTTAATAAGAATAGTAACCTGTCTTTGTTTAGTTAATCTGTTTCCTTTCTTCTATTCAGGTATCTTGCGGTTTTTCCCAAAGAAGATCACTTGGCTCTGTACCTCCGCGTTGCTAATCGTGAATCATTGCGACTTGGATGGAAAAGACGAGCTATTTATTCCTTCCATCTGTTGGATCAATCCGGCAAAGAGCTATACAAAACAAGCGGTAATTTAACTGTATTTGATTGTCGAGAAAGAAAATTTAACTTAACCTTTTGGTTTTTGTCTTACAGAAGCGTGTCAATTGTTCAGCGCTCATCTCACAGGATGGGGTTTTCCAAGGGCCATGCGTCTTAAAAAGCTTCAAGAAAAAGTGTTTGTGGAGACTAACAAACTGATAGTTAAAGTGCAAGTAAAAGTAGTTGAATCTGTTGATGAATCAGAAGTAACTGGGAACGAGACCTTAGATGTCAAAGGTTTCCAAGTTCTATATCCTCAGGTATGGAGTTGCTCCTTGTTATGTTTTTTTTTTTTTTATGGTTTGATTTGCTTTCTTGAGATTGGACAAAGGTTAACATAATTACATCTCGTGTTGAAAGGCTGTCTCAGTGAGTAGGCTTTTCACGAACCACCCAGGCTTTGCAGCAAATTTCAAAACAAAGAACCAATTGGTGAGGACGACATACATGAATATCTTACTCGGTCTCATCGAGGCATTGAACAAACCTCCACATAGCTTATCCGAGACTGAGCTAAGCAACGCTCGCAGCGAGCTGGCTGATCTAACAGAAGCGGGCTTCAAGCTGGACTGGTTGAGGACGAAGCTTGATGAGGTTTTCTTGGAGAGGAAGAAAGCAAGTGTTGATGGTATTCGAGTCCAAGAACTCAAGGAACAAGTCAAGAATCTCAAAGCTGAATTGAGCAAGGAGAAACTTAAATCTGCTACTTCTGCTGCTAAACTCGAGGAACAAGTGAAGAATCTCAAAGCTGAACTGAACAAGGAGAAAGTTAAATCTGCTACTTCTACTGCTAAACTCGAGGAACAAGTCAAGAATCTCAAAGCTGAACTGGACAAAGAGAAGAAAAAATCAGCTACTTCTGCAGCTAAAGTGTTGTCCTTAGAGAAGAAGCGGAAATTAAGCCATCAGTAATTCTATCGCTTATTTTGGTAATCTTAGAGCAGAAGGTCAAATCTTGTGGATGAAAAAACCTTTTTAGAACTGTCTAGGTATAATTAAATAAACGAGTAATCAAGTTTATTGCTTTAATTTCAGTGTTCAAGCTTTCTGAGGTTTTTGGGCCATCATATATCAAACTATATATCTGATACAAACAATATACATCCAATGCTTCACATTATACGACAAAGCAATAGAGAAACTAATTATAATTTTTTGTTGTAATTTGCTAATCATTATACATCTACATATCTCCCTGCTGGTCATACACAAATATCATGATCTGTATGGACTCCATTTCTTGCTGGCTTCCCGATCTGTAAGCAATCAATCGGTGGAACGGTCGGTGAATTGAGCAACCCGAATGTTTTCCAGCAAAACGGATCATACATGTGGTACTGTTGTTGAACTGGTTTTAGCTCTATCCCTGATAGTTGCACATCTACGCAAGGGAAACTGTCACTGCAAGCGAAATGCACAGGCTTTACTGTATAAGTTCCTCTTATCTTCTCATAAGTGACTCCTTCCACTGACACTGCTGATGTCTGGTTCTTGCATTTGCTGTGGTCACAGTAGAATTGATCAATCACTATCGGAAGCTGGACTTCTGTGAGTTGAATGTTTGAGAATAGTACTCCTTTCACTGATCCTACACCTCCCTGCCATGTCTTGATCCGGACACCGGTCATTGTGTTGTGCATAACTACATCTCGAACTGTTATGTTGGAGACACACGCTTTGGTACTGTCTTTACCAAGGCTCCCTATGCTGATCCCGTGTCCCGGTCCACAATTCACATTGTGAACATACACATTGGAGCAACCCGTTTGAATCGAGATACAATCGTCTCCTGCAAAACAGAGAAATAAAAACAGAGGAATTAAAACAGAGAAATATTAAGACTCTAGTGTTAAGATATGTTTTTCCATAAGTCAGTGTGTACCGCAAGCTAGTGTGCTGGTATGAATCATAACATCTCTGGAGTTCTGAAGATGAATCCCATCTGTGTTTGGACTGTCTCCAGGAGAAGAAACGCTCACGTCATGAACTAATACTTGGACGCAGTTATCAAACTTGAGATGACATTGAGGACTGTTCTGAATTGTTATTCCGGTCACTGTCACGTCGATACTCCCATAGAACCGTAGCGCCTGCACCGTGAAAACCCCAGGGTAAGCAAAATATTTCACCGTGTAGTAAAAAAAACAAGTAGGGTCTACTTCAAATTTTCTTCTCACCGTTGGTTTAATGCTTGGCATTCCATTAAGCTCACTTCTTATCTGCAATGTGAAGTCAAAATAAAACAAGAAAACAGAGGTTTGTGTTAGATGATTCTTGTGTTGATGTGAAGACTGAGATTCATAAGAAGATGATTTTTTACCGGCATTGGAGGATGTTCTTGAACCGAATTGTTTAATGGGACAATGAGCTTGAAGTCATCGTCGTTAGGATAATCAAAGGTGTCATCTTGTTGCCACCAAACAGTGCCTCTTCCATCAATAACACCATTCCCTTGTATTGTGATTCCTTTAAGCTTTGTGAATTCAATCCACCACATTAGTCCTCTTCCCCATGACTCAGAATCAGTAGGAGCTACAATCATTCCGTCTAGCTGCAACCAAACAAAAAGCTCACATCTTTTAATCCAAAACTATATTTATTTTCACTTTCTTTTGAAATCTTTGATGATCAATTTCTCTCACCTGGAATACAATGTCTGCTTGACAATAAGGACCCGAGAAAGAAATAGGGCCAACGAGGAAGATATAGCTAGACGGTATGGTCATCGTTGATGCCTCTACTTTGCAAGCCGATGCCCACGCCGCTTCAAACGCCTGCAGATATTGTTGAAGTTTCGTTTAATCAACATTTTGTTTGTTTATTTTTTTTCTCAGAGCAAACTCAATTATTGTGGAAAAGCTGGTCCCCTCTTAAATCTGGTAATTTTGTTGTCACTTCTCTATATTCATTTTGTTTGCTTTTTGGGGAAATTTTAAACAGTGAGAGGGAAAAAAAAAAGAAGAAACAGTTATTTGACTTTACAGGTAAAAGAGAAAGCTCTTTTGGAGCTCTGTTTCTTGTTCTGTCTCGTGTTACCTTCTCAACTGTAATTCACATTTTGTTTTTTTTTATCTATCAAAATAATTCTCATGAAACCGAAGATTAAATTCTTGAATTAATCAAGAACCACTAGAATTTAAATTTTGTAATGGATAATGAAATCTTATTAGTTATGTACCTCAGTGTCATCACTCATGCCATCACCCTTAGCGCCAAAATCAAGCACATTGAATTCTTGAGAGCCTTCAAGTGGCTGCAGCGGAAGAGGTGGTGGTGGTGGTGGCGGCGTTTGGGCTTGCGGTGGTTGTGGCACGACAGGTGAGCTGGATTTTGGCGGCGGAGTTTTCAGCGTCGGTTTTGGTTTTGGTTTTGACTTGTGGGAATGACTATTGTTGTGGCTGTTCTCATGGCTTTTTGGTTTCTTGCTGGACAAGGAATCAGACAAGGAGGATGAAGCTGATGAGCTGCTATGGTGGTGTCTCCAATGTCTTCCTTTTCTTGCAATGCAGGTCTCTAGAGTTACAGACCAGACCAGAACTGCCATTAGTATCATCATTGTGATGCTTCTCAGCCTTTGACTCTCTCTGGTTATCATGTTTTTTGATAAGTATGGGATGTTTCCTCTTTGTGGTGGTTTGAGACAAAAGAAGAAGAGGAAGAGACTTTGGTTTATTTGTTGTTGATATGAATTGAATAAAAGGAATATGGTTTTTGGAGTTTATATAAGGAGTCGTCCAAGAATATAGAAGGACTCACGGGAGTGCAACATGGAATTTCTTGATGTAATGAAGAAAATATTGTTTTCCTAATAAACTTAACAGTTTAAGCTTTTTTTTGGTGGGTCTAAGGTTACTACGTAATGTACGTATAAATTATCCACCGTGCTTTGGTTACAAATTTTAGGTTATTTTGATTATGACAGCGGGTTGATCATCTGGCAATTATATTATCACATTGAAAAGTGAAAACTATGGTATCTTATGTTATGTTTCTTTTTTGTTGAAACTTGAAAGTATCATGGAGTGAATTCCCTATACAAAAAAAAAAGATTATATTCATTTCAGCTTATATGGTAACGTGTTTTTATACCAAAAGATGAAGACGTCTATTTTGTGTAAATGTTAGGTATGGGTAATTCGAATGTCTAACATTATCAGTCAATTCTAAAACATGGACTGGGAGTTTAACCCCCCAATAAAACATTGATTAGGTATGTCATTAGATCAAATACAGATATTTAAAATCATTATATTTATTCCTACCATAACGGATAATGGTCGAATTCAAGTATCTTACATAGTTTTTTTGTAAATGAATATATATATATATATATGTGAAAAGTTATAAATTATAATTTTTAATTAAAAACCAATTGAGCATAGATAAGAAAACACATATCATATATACTGTAGTATTCACGTTGAATTATTGGAATATTCTAACAGCCTTTCATGATGATAGCTTTTTGGTTCATTCGTACTCAATCTAGTCCCACTTTCATTTTGAATTGGTTATACTGCTCTATTTTATTGTACTCAGATACCATGTAAGCAATTGTGGGTTTTCAACAAAACCAACTAACAATGAATAAAAAGGCTGATATTTTGTTTTATTTTTTTCCAAATGGCTGATATCATTTTTTGTTGATAATTCTTGTGAATTCGACTTATCTCATATATATACAAATTTGTAGGGCACTTGTCCACTTTTAATTTGGAAAAACATCCCAAACTGTATTCTTATACAGAAATTCCTTGAAGATAACATTAAGATCGATCTGCTATAGGACACAAGGACTGTCTGTGAGCAGCAAACAATTTTTTTTTTTTAGTGGCACAACCACTTCTATTCTTTATCAGTTTAGAAATACATACAGCTTAATTGTTTGATCGGTATATAAAGTTAATCTATGAAAGAAAAAAAGTAGTCAAAAAAGAACTAAATTATTAGAGTTAAATTTGATTGCAATAATAATTGTAAACATGATGCTATTCGAGGCTATTAGTTTAGAAATGAATGAATGAATGTATGCCACGTGTAGAGTAGAGGTTGGCTGAGACTCATCCACTTTGGTTGGTTGAAACTTAAAACTCACTAGAGCCAAGACAAACATACCACAAAGAGGCACCTGTACAGACAAACACATATACCTTTCATGTTGCAAAACCTCATCTACTCGCATACAAATACATATATATTTATATGACTATAAATCTACAATGTCTAAATATATATGCACCATAAAGTGGGGCAATTGAAAACGAGTCGGTTGTTTTTAGGGATAAAAAGGTGGATGGCAAAGGATAGGATTTTTATTAGGAAATCAACAAGATGTTTATGAGCTAGAACAAAATGGCCAAAAGGATGCCGAAAGAAAAAAAAATTGTTTCTTAATATTACGCCGTCTGCCATGTACCGCACGTGGTTATGTGGAGCTAGAATAATATGTTATGAACAACTGAGTTTAAGAGCGAGAGGAGTTGTCGATAACAGATACGCTTCTTGTAGCATTAAATGGAGAGACAACATAATCTATAAGTCGCCTGATGTATGCATGAGATAGGCTGAAGGGATGGATAGTTATTGCAATTTACTAATGTTGGAACAAGATTTTTGTAGTGAGTGGGGGGGAAAGTGAAAATATATGTGTACACCTAGGTATGTGGAGTCTCCATAAATAGTAGTTTTCTCCCTCTAATTTCATGTAGCGCTACAACCGGTTGGAGCAGGTACACGTATATTCTGGTACAGTCATTTCGTTTATGAATATTTATGACTAATATTGAAGTGATTCTGTTATTAATAACCACAACTATGTGAACCAGATATCATAATGATGCAACTTTGGGAAGTCCTCAGCGATCTAGTCCGGGCAGAACATGGGTGGTGGATGAAAGATGCGGGAGGTGTGGCGATTTGTGTTGCTGGATGGATATAAACTTGGTGCGGGCCAGATATAAACTTGTAACAGGTTATTTGAAAATGATGGAGATTTGTAATGATATAAGTGTATTGTAGACGTCTATTAACATTAATGGAGTGCTATATTCGTCTCTCAAAAAGTTATGTTGTTCCATAGATTGTTATATTTATTATATTCAACGGATCGCGTGCCCTTAAATTATATTATAGTGTGATATTTTCTTACATAGATTTTATGTTGCTCCTATAACTATAATATATGTTAGTATATGAGGCTATATAGCTGTCTATTAATATTAGTGAAGTGTTATTAAATATGATAGACGATTATCTGAATGGCTGCTAAAAGAACATTACATTGAAGAGTAAAAAAAATTAAAGACATCTAATGTATTTAATGGACGGATTTTCTCAGGATTGGATCAAACATAGAATGTCATATTGGATGTGGCATATAAGGGATATGAACTGTATTTGGGGCGTGTGTTCAAGAACAAACAAGACTGCAAGGTGAAGATAGCATCTCCATGTGATCCACCTTGGGGTCATCTACTTCATCGGCCCATGCGAAGGCACTTTGGGGGGTTCCATCGAATTTGCCTTCGATTATTGAAGTCACGGCCACCTACAAAAAGACACTCGCATACTGATTTATAAGGCCACACACTCAAACTTAGACATCCATATATTCGGGTATCTGATTACATTGTTGGAGATCCATAACATAAGATACAGGGCTACCCGGGTTTGTAGTAAAGTTACATGTCTGGAAGAGTCGAAATCCCAAAGCTTATCTAGCTAACCATCAGAGCGAATGTGCATATATGCATGTGAAGATCTGGTTTGGAGATCTAAGATTTTGTTTGAATTATTGAAGATCTGGTTTCAGGACCTAATATTTTGACACTAAGGTGATATTTCTGGGAAAATCTAAGATTAAAAAACAATCCAAATGGGGAATCACTTCCCACTATCGATTGAAACAACGACAAATCACCCGAACAAGATTTGGCTCCGAAAAGAAAATGAAAACAGAAATCGGAAGAGTAATCCCATCGGAACACCCAAATAAAACACAAAACACCGTAAAAGGGTAGTACTATATGTGATAAAGGAAATGGCGAACCATGATGCTCCGGTGGGTGTGGCGGTTGAGTTTACCTGAATAATCAACTGTCGGCGGGGGATTGCTAGCTTCTTCCGGTTACGGCCGATAATCGCCACAAAACTCTGTTTCGTCGCCCTGTCTCTATTTTGTTTTGGGAGTATCGGAAGACAGGGTAATCGAAGCGGCTATGTGGCTGTATAGGATTCCGTGAGAGCAAGAAGGATGTTATAAATATGCCGGTCTATATGCTATGTTCAAAAAATAAGTTACAACATTTGTAAATAAAGTTGAAACTAAACAGTTATTGGTCTCCAAACCCCATCGTTCGATTTTGGGTGTACACGTAATATCGGATTTAATGGCAAAAATGAATAAATTAATTTATCGGGAAAAAAAGAGGAACCGCAAATAAAAGTAAAAAATAAATAAAGAAGGACAGATTAGTTTAATGCTTAAACGCATAAATGGCATATGTCGATCCGTTAATTAATAATCGATCTTTTACTATTTTGTGCTATTTCCCATGTTTTTATATGTCAGCACATAGTTAGACGCATTTGTGTATAAATGTATTTGTTGATGTGTCATCGTGGTGACCAGAGAATTATGTTTTATAGTCTCTGTAATCACTATTGGATATTGAAATTTTCATTTAAACTTACTTTCTCAACAGCCGATTAAGTTTTGTAGGAAAATCCTAAAAATTGTTGAGTATTTAGTTAGTTTTACAGATATTTTGTAATTCCAATATAATTGGAGACCGTGATTTTTTTTTTTTTTTGGTAAAAAAGGAGATCGTGATTTTTTTTTTCTTTGTCACACCTTCATTTTCTTTGTAAGATGTATTTTTGTTACATGAATGTCGGTCGAATTTAGTGTATGAGGACAAAATTACTCTAACCTCCGTTTAAAAATTGGACGGACATACAGTCTAAGAAAATAACATTTTATAGAAACAATTTCGTTCTAAGAAAAAAACATTTTATAGAAACAAAATTCACCCATCAATAAAAGATAAAATCATACAAAAAAAGTTTGACGTCATATCATTGTCATTTACATAACGTGTTTCCAAAATGTGTCATTCCACCGAGACCGAAGTTCTAAGGTAAAAATATTGTATCTATATAACTAGGTTAAAAACTCCAGATATTTTCGTTGCCCATTACATCAATATGTTAACTTAAATGATTCATCGAAATGTGTGTCTATCAGGATCCCTATTAGTTGATAATTACTGAATCCATAATTATTTTCTTTCAGTGATGAGCAATTATCGACAGTTTCTTGGGTACTATTTTGTCGTAATAGCTTCGTCCGAGAGAAACATATACATACAGACATATATAGTATATGTGTGTGTGTGCATGTAAAAAATGGATGAGACATGTGATTGGGTCTATATTTTGTCAATGGGCAGTGATTATAACATCTCTTTTTAGTGCTCACATGCACCACTTCACGGGCTTTGCTTTTATCTCCACAACTCCTCTAATCTTTCTTTTTTTGATAAAGAACTCCTCCACTCTTTCGTTTCAAAAGTTTTATTATCTTCGTTCTTTGTTTATATATATATTCCTATTTAACAATTCATCGTTTCTTGTCACGCTTTATACATTCATTAGCCCTTTCTAAAAAAGACATGGCTGCTAGCCAAGAAATCGAAAACTTAAAATCCGTTACTGGTACTCATTTAGTCAAATTTATTTACACCATCCATACACAGTAACAGTAATTCATATAAATTTCATATCTAAATGCTTTTCGTTTGTAAATATGTAAAAGATCATGTGATGAACATACATAGCCTGATGGCCAACGTTATGTCATCTTAAAGAATTCCTTGAGTGACAGCATTAGTTGAGTTGTAATTTTTTATTCTGTACACAAATATAAATAAGATAAAGATATTATTGTCATATACTCATGCATACTCTTCAAAAGTCAAATTTACTGGTACACATATGACTGAAATCATAATTCTCTTCCAATAAAGAAACATATTTGCAGCCTACACGAGATAAAACTATCATATTACATATTCAAGTTGTAATAATATATCTTTAGTTGCACCAACAGTAATATAATACATGGAAATATGTAGCAAGAAACGTAAAATATATTACAATTACAGTCGTTTTAACTTTTAACTCCCTTACGATTTTAAATTTAACCGTTCCGTTACTTAATTTGGTCAAAGAAATGTTTTCACCTACAAGAGTATTGTGCACGGTAACATAGACCTACTAGCTAGCAGAAAATAAGTTGCAAATTGTATTCATTCTAATTTCGTGATAACATTTATCCTTACGACATTAAAGTGTAACGTCAACATTCCAGTACTCAAGTTCTAAGCGATCTAGCTCACTTACAGACTTACTAGGCCATAAAACCTTTAGAAACTAGGGTCTTCTGTCGGAATTAGTATGGGATGGCTTTGAGAGAATTATTAGCGCCAGGAGACGAATTTTCCTTCCGAGAGATTAGAAACACCTTAATTTTGTCATTTGGCATAATCATGGCTGGTTTATCACGTGTCGCCTGGTTGTTGGATAATTAAAATCACTCCATTACAATGTGTGTATATGAGTGAGGTAAGGAGAGAGATATCACGGAGCATCGATCATCTCATATGTGTGTACACAAATCAAGATGCTTCCTACCTTTATAGATGTTCATTTCTCATTAAATTATAAAATGCCACTGTTCATTGTTACACGAGCCTTATAAGTAATTAAGTACAAGAAACAAGAACCCTTTTTTGTATACAATTACTTTTTATTATAGGTAATGAATCTTCGAGAATCAGGACTTTTGTCTCACAACCATTTAGTACGACTGTTTTTTTCTTAGACAGACAAATTTGTCCACCATAATGAGTATATATGACTGGTTCAAATTTGTATTGGACTTATTGGTTAGTATATGTTAAAAAATGAAAATAAATTGGTTACAGATTTTATTCAGATGTAATGATGAGACACGGCTAATAATTTTTTTAGTTTTTACTTTGCATGTAAGCAAATTGTTTTTGTTTTGGGTAGATATCATTAATTACTGCTCTTATAATCAAAGTATTCTGTTTCATTTGCGGTTGGTAGTAGCATGGTTTTAGGGTATTTTTGGTTTCCGATTATTTTTTTACAGTTGTTTAAAAAGTTAAAAGATTTCCGAAAGTCAAACTGAATTGTTAATTCCAGTCTGGTTTCATTATTCTATCTTGGATTTTAATTATTTTTTGCTTGAAATTGCGCATTTCGATTTAAGTAATTTTGCTTTATCTTTTTTAATTAGATTTGATTCAGTCTGTTTTATCTTTCCACTCATAATTGGTAATTTCATTTTTAAGTGGATATAAAAAAAGCTTGGGTACTATAAAAATACAAATACGATATAATCCCCTTTTGACTAATTTACAGCTCGATTCTTTGTGATATTGTGCAATCTCTTGAAGTCTTGATCATGTGAAAATATGTTTTATATAATATGTGGACCGTACCGTTATCTTGATACGCCTCTGTCATATTATCACATATATGTTACCTGTCTTCGACGTTTTCATATAAATTCCAACATTAATAATAATATTTGTTGGAATTTATAATAAAATATGTTATGCATGCGTACATGCACTACATGTAACTGCATGTGTGCACATTTGTGTGTATATACACGGTGTGTACTGTATATAATCTTTTCTTTTGTCCTAAATTAATTTTCGCGTATATTTTCTTACAATTAATTTATCAATTTTCTTTGCATTTTAACGGAACCTTTATCTGATTTTTTTTTGAAAATGTTTTGAAGTTTCTCATATATAAGTTGTATTGATAATAGTTTTTTTTCTTAAATAATAGTTGCGATAACAAAATTAAACTTATAACTTATTCATAATTGGACTTTTGTATCTGTCAGAACGGATGTGAGAAATTGCAAAAAGTTGATACAGAAAACAGAACAACAAAAAGTTGATAAGTTGATATATATTTACAAAGAGGGACTGTTTAGAATACAGAAAACAGAACAACAAAACCTAATATTTGAATAATTTGTAATCATAATTCAAGGCATATACAACATTAATTTAATAATTTGTAAAAATATTTGAATAGTTTCACCTAATAACTAAATGATTAGTTCTTAAGTTAAGTTTCATTCCAAAATATCGAATTATAAGTAATAAAAAAAAACTAACCTATATTAATAGAAATAGTGATAATCTGTAGAGTTTCTTTTCATGTGGCTATTGTTTGTCTGAATTTTGCTCTAGATTTTAAGTAATTGTTTTTTGTTTTCTCGTATGGCTTTTACAAAACAAAAAAAAAAAAGATGCGTTACTATTTCCATATGCCGTCTTTTTGCGAAGACATGCTCGTGATTAGTTTTTTTTTTATATAATTATTTTTGTGTTTTGTTTTTCTTTAACGTTCCCGTGAGGCGTGAAGGGAAATTCATTCGTTGGCTGGAAAATTTACCATGTAGCCCTTCGGTCCCATCTTCGGTTTCTGTATAATCCATTTCTTTTTTTCTTGGTTTGATAAATGTCCTGATCCATCCAGCCAAATACTTGATATTTTGATAACATATGCAGTTCCTAGAAAAAAATCGAATAAGTTTAAATTTGGAGTCTGAAATTTTGGTATAGAACTGGTTGATATTAAAAAGGGATATTCTATAGTTCCAAAATGTATGCATATATAATAGTTACATATCATTCATATTAAAGTTTGTTTGCTACGGTTTTTTTTTGCTGTTGTAAAACTTTGCATGCTACGGTTATTTTATTTTTTTTGAACGATATGCTACGGTTACTTTCAAGATGCTGTAACATACAAATTACAATGTAAACTTATGTGCATGTTTGGTAAGATACATATAATTTATATTAGGTATGAATTAAAATTAAAATGTAATTGAAGACACATATCCGACCATATATAAGAATATTTTGTAATAATGAAGGTTTGGTACCAACAAGGCAACACATACTAGCTTTGTTGTTAATCACATCATCATACATGTAGCTATAGAAGGGTTTTATAATTTTAATTTTAATTATATCATTATAAATGTCACTACAAGAAAGCATATGATTTTCCGAGAAACATTTTCGAGAAACACCGTTGTCAGAAACTTTCCTAGAACATTCCGATGAATTACATGTAGCTATACAGTACTGTATATATATTTTTAGCTATATTTACATTGAGTTTTTTTTAATATCTAAAGTCATTATATATACACTCATGTATCAATTACTTCTAAATAACAATGCTCATTATAATTACAAATTATCTTGACCTCTGTAGTTAGAGACTTAAGAGTCACTCGCAGTCTCGCATTAAAATGTTACTTAGCACGAGCAAAAATATTTAACTGGATAAGTGAAAAAAGGAACCCAAAAGTATCTATTTGTTTTACAAGGTCTTCCTAAACTATGAAAGTAAGCAAGCAAGTGATGTAACCTTCACAAAAAAGAAAAAAAAAAGTAACTATAAAACCTTATAGCAAAATTATTTAAAAGTGTGCTTAAAAGCTTAGAGTTTTTTAAAATGCTTCCTTATAAGATATTGTTGTTTTGGAGGAGAAAAAGTATCTCTTTGAAAATGCCACTAAAAAGTATATATATATATTGCAGCTCTACAACACACAACAAATGTAAAAGCAAATAAAGAATTTTATGTATGGAAAAAGGCCCCTGCGTTAATGTGTTAACTGTTAACTACCGAATATCTTTTTAGTTTTAAATACAGTTTGATTTTAGCATAAAAATGAAGCTAACATTTTGAGATACAACAAGGCCAAATAATAATAGACAAAATGTTTAGAAAGTGAAATCTAGCGAGCGATGACGAGTCCCAACGACAAGGCGGCTCCAAACAATGCGTGGAGTCTCACACAATAATACTTGGCCATGAATATTTTCTCATTCTCCTGCATTCAAAACATTACATAATTCAACAAAGTATATATTTCATCAATCTTCAAATCTTAAAAAAATTCACTTTTTTTTATTTACCTTGTGGTGCTTTTCGACATAGCTTGAAACCAAGTTCCCAACTGGTAAAGTAAGGAAACACATCAACTGAAACACCCAAAAAAAAAAAAATGGTTTTTAGATGCCTTTTCATTGTTTTTTTTCAGTCATGTTTTCAAAACTGTTGCTAACTTACTGTACAAGTTACTGGCAAAATCTTGGTTAAACCAAGAACAAGAAGCATCGAATAAAGCAAACGAATAGCCCATCTCACTACAAAAGCTCCTCTTTCAGTCCCAACCCGAACCTGTGTAAACCAAGAAAAACACTCAAATCATAAAACACATCACTATATTCAAATCAAAACCCGGTTAAGTTTTTCACATTTGTACCAGAGGTGAAAATTTCCCCACAGCTAAATCTCCTTCAACCTGTAGAGTATCAACCGTAATCAGCATTGATTTTGTCATTTAACTAACCTACTGATTACGTTTTCTTGAACTAACCTGATGAAAGTGGCTGCAGAAAAGGATGAGAGATGTGGTGAAACCAACAAGGAGAGATGATGAAAACACCCTACTGCTCAAAGGAACACGACTCATCTCGCTGCCAAAATCAGTTTCGGTTATTTAGCAACTCATGGAAACAGAAATCGATTAGGGTTAAAACAAAGTTTGGATATCAGTACCTTGAGCTACCAAGAAGTAGATAGAAAGCAGTAGTAGCAAATGGACCAAATGCTGCAAAACATAGAGGCTCTCCTAATCCTTGGTAACTTAACCGAAATGGTGGACACTAGAACCAATTACTCAAGTTAGAATCTCATAGATTAGTATCAAACTGTTCACCTATGTAAGTTACATTCACCTGATATACATAGCCACATGTTATAGCCGAGGCAAGCAATAGTATTGCACGAGTGTTTCTTGCTATCAAAGATGTCCAAACTAGACCAGAAACGCCGAGCACGAGCGATGTTACTGCAGCGGCTAAGGTTCCTGTCCGGCTTTTCCAAGTAAAACCGTAAAAAGAAATTACAAGAGAATAATAGAAAAACATAAACTTTAAAGTTGCAAAATCTCTCTTTTGATACATACCTTCCAACCATATTTACTACTGATTCTTTCTTGTTCTTATCAGCTCCAGTATCGAAATCATAAACATCATTGCTGCCACAAAAACAATGTTTTGGAATGAGTAAATACATGAAATAGTTTGATGATAGATTGAAAAGAGTGTTACCTTAGGTTGAGCCAAGTAATAATAAGTATCGATGAGAGCATTAGAGTAACATAACGTCTAAAAAGGAATAATCCAGTCTCCAAATAAGCAGCTGAAGCACCAACCTGTGACATTTAAACAGTGAACATTCCAATAGCATATAAAGGCAATGGAGGAAACAGTGTTTCTCGAGAAAAACATACCGTAAGAGGAACCAAAGCAACAGAGTAAATAGGTAGTTTGATTGCTCTCCATATCAGTTTTGCTTTGGGAATTTCCTCTTCTTGATACACTTTTGATGTATCTCCATAGCTCTTGCAAAAGATTGGCCCAACTCTAAGGTGATCTCTTCTTCTTTTAGCATTCAGATTCTCTCGTGCACTTGAGTCAAACACCGTTGATCTTGTGATATGGAACGTCTCTGGGAAGCTAAGCTAAGTAATTTTAGTAGATGAATCATAATTGTCAAAGAACAAAGCTTTCAGATTCATCAAATGGGCAGTAGATTTGATAGGCCTACCTTCTGAATCTCGGTTTCACAAACAAATCAGTTGGCTTTTTGGGGACAAACCCATGATTGATGTCAGAAAGAGAAACCAATTTCATCATTTGAATTCTCTGTAAAACAAAAACAAAAAAGTTTCTCAGTTAACTGCAACAGAGCAAGATCACACTAGAACAATGGGAAAACGAGGTAAGATGAAGAAAAAGAAATATCTGAAAAGTTTGAAACTTTACCGTTCTTACACGAATTCTTGGAAGAAAGTATGCTTTCTTTGCATAGATTCCTTCACAACATGGTCACGAACGAATGATTTCTTCTAGTTTTCAGATCAGGTTCCATCACTGACATCTATTGAAACATTTGGAATTTAAGTTATAGAGAAGGCAAAATTTGACTTGTCTTAATAACAATCCAAAAAAGACACACAAAACAAAATCAATTACAAAGCATAAATGTTACATCTGATAGAGAATTTTAAGATTGTGCCAAGAACATATAATTCTAGTTACCAGCAGCAGCAAATGATATCACAACATAATCATATCAAATTTGGCTCGTCTTCAACGTGAACGCCATGCAATCCAAGCTCGATTTGGAGAAGATGAAACTACTATAATGCACAAAGAATAAGTGATTAATTACCAACTAAAGAAGTAAACGGCGACCTGGAAATTGATGGTCAATTTTGCAGAGGAGACACTCAGAAGAAGAAGTCGGAACTCGCGAGGATCTCTAACAAACCTGGAAAAAAAAACTTTTAGAAGAATTTGAACGTGTCTTCGACCTGAAAGAGAATCTCTAAGAAGAATTTGAATGTCTTTCGAGGCAGAAGAAATGAACGATGAAGACAAGCTTGTTGTTGGAGGATAAAATCACGTGAGACTCACGTGTCTTCGACCTTCTTTTCAATATGCAAATAGAAGATGGGCCTGGGACTGGATCTGGGCCTTAAACACCAAAAGTTTCTAGAGAAGTCCTGGATGTGACGAGGCATTAATCTATGATCCATGATCTGCAAAAAGAAAAGCTCGGGAACTGAAAGTGTGCTATCACTTTTCACACTCTCTTCAGATTTGTTACATCAAAGAGCCGTTGCTTAATAAATACTAAATCGCAGAATGATGTACTGTGGTTTCATTTGGCAAAAGCAAAACACTCAAGCAAATTTTTAATAATCATAACATACAAATATGTTCATCTTTCTCCATAATTAACTTTTTAAGAGTATGAATACAGACTATTTTCATGGATTTCTTCTCAAGAGAAGAAGACTTTAACACTATAAGTTTTCAAAAACTGACAAACAAGACAAAAACCAGTAAACACATCACAATCTTTCCACAAACTCAAGTGCCTAGCTAAACATTAAAACATCAATTGAATTTCGTTTAATTATCAGATTGTTCGTACTTTTTTCGAATAAAACTGCATTAATAAAATCATCAATATTGCAAAAACTCCTGAAGATCGAAATCGATTTTTTCGTCAATTTTGGCTCATGCTCTTGTTCTAATATCTAAAGTCAGTCTCATCATTTCAAAATTCATTAAATGGCAAAAATAAAATGGTAAGCTCTCTGTTGTATTTGTGAAAATTGATCTATTGATTGTGGTAGTTTTGATTTTCTCTCCAATCATATAGGCATCTTGTTCCCTTAAATGGTTATACTGTTTATGAAACCGCTATCTACATCAAAAGTATGTGACCGTAGTGATCATCTGATAGGTGATGAGGTAGTGCTGAACTGGCACCTAGATGAGAATAAGAAGAGAAAGACAGTTAAACTTGTGAAAGAAAGACTCAAATAGTATAACTTGAAGAGAGAGAGGATAGGGAGAGGTTTATGCTTGTTTTTGCATCTGTTTTAGGGCTTCTTTCTCAGAGAGTTGTAACTAAGATCAAGAGGGGCTTGTGAAGCTTATATGCTTGGGCTTATATTCGTGTGTTCATATCAATAAACGGAGAGTGTTCTTATCAAATTGATAAATAATGGCCTAGTATTGAGCTGGCACATGCATGAGAATAAGAAGAAGAGAAAGGCGGTTAAACCTGTGAAAGAAAGACTCAGATAGTATAAATAGAAGAGAGGATAGGGAGAAGTTTATGCTTATTGTTGCATCTGTTTTAGGACTTGTTTTTCAGAGAGTTGTAACTAAGATCAAGAGACGCTTGCGAAGCTTATACGCTTGGGCTTGTATTCGTGTGTTCATATCAATAAACAGAGAGAGTTATTATCATCATCATACCAAACCAATAATTCCTTATAGCTAGCGAAGATTGTAGATCATTATAGCTTGTATTCGTGCGTAGTTTATACGCTTGGGCTTGTATTCGTGTGTTCATATCAGTAAATGGAGAGAGTTCTTATCATCATCATACCAAGCCAATAATTTCTTATAGCTAGTAAAGATTGTAGATCATTATAGCTCGTGGAGATTGGAATTCACACAACAACGAGTACCTTGATCATTTATAAGTGAATTATATTGATATTAAATTAAAGAATTGCTAAAAATCATCTATACTTGTATGATGTTTTCAACAATATGTGTACAATATCCAAGATCAATACTTGAGTTCACATCTTTAGTTTTTCTTTTTCCATAAACAAACTATCGTGATCAAATAATGTTATGAGTAACTTATTTTTTCTCGTAGAAATTGTAGACGTATTATATTTGCCACTAATATACATTGTTGTCAAATGTTAGCTATTTTCTATGTCTATTAACTATATTTGAACATTTATTTTGTTATTTAATTAAGTTAACTGGAATATCCTAGTATCAAAAATCTGATAATACAACAATAATAAATTCTACAGCGAGTGGGTTTCACTTACTTAATTTTGTTTATTTCCTATTTGTTGTAGTTTTACGTTTTTTTTTCAAGAAAAGTCATAACCATTCATGAAAGAGAACCCACACTACAGTTTTGAAGTTTAAAATAAGGTAAAATACAAATGAAAATAAAACACAAGCTAGTCAGTCCACATTATCAGTGTCACTTATGGGTGCACCTCCATAGAGCATACTGGACCAGATCCAGGTAGCACTTGTTCGAACCTTTTTGAGTACCTCACTGCAAACTTCGTTCTGTGCCAACATCATCGGTACGCCTGTACCAAGCAAGCCTTCGATTGTGGATAAAAAATCCCAATCACCAGCAATGATCAAAATATGCATGTTCTTTTTCTTCCGAAAAACTGTAAAAAAAGTTTCTTTAATCACCTTTAAATAAGTTTTATGCTTATTTTTGTGAATTAGTTATCGTTTTATGTTTTCAATGTTTAATTTTAACTGAAATTTCACTTTTATTTTTATTTTATTAGTTTATTAATTAATAATATTAAACAAAAATAATATGTTAATAAAGGATCAAACATAAAATTTAAATGTTTTTAATATTTTTAAAAAACCTTAAACGACAACTAATATGAAGTAATTTTTGAAAAAAACAAGAACAGCACTGCTGAAGAATTTTCTATCTCTCAGTATTTATATTTATGTTGTAACAACTGATCTTAAGGATTTCGAGTTAAATAGGTCAGTTAAGGCAATGACTATTGAGGAAGTTGGTGTTATCTAGCCATGAGAAGTCTTCAATGAAAAAGAATGTTATGAGCGTCATGGGACACATACTAAACCCAAAATTTCAAAACATACTGAGTTTAATTGGGACTTTATAACTTATAAGAGCTTTCAACTTCATTGTTTCGATTTTTTTTCTCCAAATATCCAAAAATAAAAGCTACTTAAAAGATAGATGAGGAAGATAACAGCACCCTTTAACAAACCGTGTTTAGACAATGCTGATTGTATTAGACCAACCCCAATGGTCAATCTTAGGGATTTAATTCAATGTTTTTATTAATATAATTGAATAAATAAATTGTAGTGAAGGTCTTAAGTTTAAGACCAATGTCTAATATATAATCTTTTTTTTTAGTTAAGACTCGACACGTGGCAACTTCTGATTGGACAAGGTCTAATTTCTGAATTGCACTTCTATAATTTATATGTTTCTATGTACAATGTAATCTCTATAAACTAATATTCGATAAATTAATAATCAATATAAATTAATAATTTTTACCGATCTTAAGTCGGACCAGTGTAAAAATTGACAAAATTCGATAAAATAATAAGATAATATTTTTTTGAAAGTTCTATGTAAAAATATGGTCCCAATAATAATATAAATTAATAATTATATATTTAAGCATATATTAATAATATAATATAGAAAACTATGATAATATTGTTGTTTGATTTATCTTCTAAATTCATTATTATGGTATCTTTTGAATGAATCTTACATTTTTGAAAATATTGATTTTGTTTTTTATGAAAATTAAAAATTCTATAAATTTAGCGATTAACTAATAACTCTATAAATTATTAAAATTTGAGAGTCCCTACATTATTAATTTATAAAGATTTTGTATTACTTTTATGAAGATGTATTATGTTTTAAAAGTTATTGAAATAAGTTTTTACAAAATATATATATATATTGTTTTTGTTTTTAAAACACTCATTAAAAGTGTCTCCATTGTATATTAAAAACAACAAAATACTACAAAGTATCTTATATACATAAAGTACACAAAATATTAATAATTAATCTTTAAGATCCATACTAATAGTGTTACTATTGGGGTTGTTCTTAGAGTCTTTCCTCATTCCTATAATAAATACTAAATTGCAGAAAGATGTATACATATGGAGTCATTGGTTAAAAGCAAAGACTCATGCAAACTTTTCATCATCATAACATACATATATGTTCATCTTTCTCCATAATTAACATTTCAAGAGTATTGAATACAGACACTCTGTTTTCATGGATTTCTTCTCAGGAGAAGAAGACCTCAACACTAGAAGTTTTCAAAGACTGACAAACAGGACAAACACCAGTAAACACATCACAGTCTTTACACAAACTCAAGTGCCTACACGGCACAAGCAAGACCGAAACCTCCTTTGCATTGCACGACTTACATCTCATCCCAGTACTTGGCAATGGCATCCCCGGGATGTTGTTCATGTAGTTGTATGAGGCAGCATCGTCGTCAATCTCGCTATCCCCAAACCCTTCTTTCACTTGATGATGATGATGATGATCAGCTACTACCACTCCTGCTCCATTGCTGTTGTTTCCATGTGACATCACTTGTTGCAGATTTACTTTCAAGGCATTAACCACAGATTCGTTGTAATGCCAGTTCTGAGCTTCCCCTGTCACTTGTTTAATCTTATCCACAAGTTCCCTGTTCTTCTTGTTCATCCTCTCGATCTCCTGGTCTTTCTCCTGAAGCTTCTTTCTCACATCCTTCTCCAAGCTCGTGACAAAGGACGAGACATGTCTCTGTTTCATGTCTCTCACGCCTTTCGCCAGTTGTTCCGCCTGGTCCCAAAACAGAGTACAATCACAACAAAGATTGATATACAAACAAAAGTATAAAGCTTTGCAGATAGAATCAGTACCCTGAATTTGATAAACTGATCAAGCTCGTCTTTCTGCCTATCAAGATCCAATCTGATATTGTCACCGAGTGACTGGAAAATCGGAGTCGTGATGCTTCCATTTGCAGAAGTTACAGAAGAGTTTCGCTCATCTTCATCATAAGATAGTCTCAGACCAGTTGACACTAAGTTCTGCTTTGGTACTTCATCTTGAACAACACTAGTGTTATTGTAGTTGTAATTCAAAGAGATCTGCAGCTTCTGCTGTCTCTGGATATTGTTGTTGATTTCGGGTTCTCTTCCGAGTTTGCTACTATGCCGAATCATTGGAGCAAGGTTATCATTAGCAAAGTAGTTTACAGGATCAATAGCGCAACCAGCTCTCACTGTAACCACATACAAAGCGAAAAAAGCTTTAGCTCTATAAACTTCTAACAACATTCAAAGCAAATGATGAACAAAACTAATCAGAAACTTAACTGGTTCCGAGCAAGTGAAGCTGATTCAACGATGCGTCTGTTGTTTGGTACTGAAACTGGCTATCGTTCATTACAACCTGCGGTAAAGGGTTCTCATTGTTGCCTCCCAACATATTTTTCTCTAGTGCTGAACAGTTTTGAGTGTATAAAGTATTAAACTTTAAGAAGAATTACACAAAAAACCTGCAGACAAATGAAACTTAATGAGCTGAAAGCTAATAAAAACTCAATACTTTATATGCTCCTAAGAGAAAGTTACGACCTTTGAGGAAACTATGCTTTAATCAAGGCCTGGATATATTACAAATACTAACCACTGTTGATTGATTCTTCAAACACACACAGATGGAAAAGCTTGTGAATCAATATGGGCAACCAAATCTTAAAAAGATATCTGGAGAATCAAGTTTACGTATTAAATCAAGTTTATGTGATCACGCCTATTAATTCGATGCACGAAATCAGATTTGATTGATTATGGTCAAAGATTCATCTAAATATATATAAATAACAAAAATACGCAAACGGAATATATCAAAAATGATCAAATAAGGTAAATTTATTGAACATGTAAAACAACTTGGCAACTTCAAAGAACAAGACATATACATAAACAAAGGTCTTGTAAGAGAGCCAAAGAGAAAATTTTGTACCTCTTAGAGATTGCCCATCAAAGATTCAACTGATTTACAGAAAAAGTTAATTAAACCTTAGCTTCCTTCAGATCCTGTATATACACAAACAAGATAAGAAAATATAAATTTCATCATCATCAACACAGAGACCCAGAGAAAAAAAAGTTTGATTCTTTTCAATCAATTAAATTTAGAAAAAAAAAAATAACCTGCAAAAACAAGGAGTTGAAAGAAGCCAATCGATTAAGATTCAGAATCGTAAGAGCGAATCAAAAGAAAAGAAGAAGATGGGTTTGTTGAAACGCACAGAAACACAACATCACAATAATAATTTTAAAGGCTAAGAAAAATTAAATTTAAAGGGAAGAAGAAGAAGAAAGAATAAAAGAAGAAAAGAAACGGATTGGAAAAAAAAAACGAATGAAATGAATGATGGAGGTGAGAAAGCGGGATACAGTGGTGAAGGAGTGGGAGAAGTTGGGTGGCAAAATCGAAATTAAAAATAAAATAAAAATTCTCGAAAATTGAGAAATTAAAAAATTCCAAAAAATTAATTAAAATTTGATGATAACGAGAATAATAATAACTGGTGCCGGTGGGTATTGGTTCTGCTTATTTCCCCGTGAGTTGTGCCTCTCTGGTGACGCCATTCACTCCACTTTTCTGCATTTTTCTTCGCTTTTTTATAATATTTTTGACCATTTCATTAATTGAAAAAGAAGATTATTTGAAAATGTTAACAATGACAACCTAATTTTTTTGTAAATTACGAAAGAGACTCGTTTCTTTGACATCCTACCACGTAGATTCTGAGGTGGACAAACACTAACCGTTATGGTCCGGTTTTTGTTTTTGTCTTTTAATGAACTTGTCCAAATTTGAAAATGGAATATGAGTTGGGTAAATTTTAATGTAGGTCTGGGGTATTAGGAGGATATTTTATATCGGTTTGGTTTACTTATTTCGGATTTGGGGTATTTAAAATACGAAAAAACTATATATCAAATTGGAACCAACCAAAATTTGGCTTCGATCTCCCCAAAATGTATGGTTTGTTCGATTAATTCGGTTTAATTTCAAATAATATGGGTTCAATTTAGTTAATTTTGTATAACTTTCTTTTATACCCACCCGAATTATTATATATGAGTTGGTTTGAATTCGGATTGATAAATTTCGGTTTGGTTCGAATATTTTGCCATCTAATAATCTAATCTATAAAAATGTTTAATTGGTTAGTTTATGTAGTTTCGTGTGTGAGTTGATTCGAATTAGTTTTGGTTTAAATTTTGTTTGGTTTAGTCCACACGTGTCAATAAACCCTAACTAAAACCCATCTTTTCTCCTCGTTCTTTCTCTCGTCGACTCTTTTCTGTTTTCTGTTTTTCCTTCACAAAATTCCAATTCAGAAACTGGGAAACACAGAAAATTAGAATCGAAGAAGACAATTACGAAATTGATGAAAGCTCTGTTACAATAGAGCGCAGACGCGGAACTTCGAACACCGAAACGCCGACAATTCATCTTCTCTGATAAACCCTAATTTCGGTTTGCACAGTCTCGTAATCGAGCTTGGCTGCAGAGAAGGATGGCGAACGAAGTAGAAGAAGAAGAAATGAAAAGGATCGTGACTGAGACAGAAAAGACATTCGCGAAGAACTTCAACATATTCGATCTCCCCGACGTCGCTCCCGGACTTCCTCCGCATCTGGAACTCCAGCGAACTCGTGTCTTCTGTAAAAACGACGCTCCTATTCATGTACACACTATTTTCTTCTGCTCTGTATTGCTTCTTATTAGTTTAGCTGAATTTTGGGATTATTGAATTTTCACAATAGTCCCAAAAAGCTGTGAATTTGCGACTTTGGTCTTGGAATTTTACAAGATTACATAGTGGGTTTGGTCTCTTTTGTCGAAAACCAAGTGATATATGTGATGAATGTTTGAGATTGAAAGTCTTTAATCTTGTTCTGCCCATGTGTTTGTGGGTTACCGTAGACTACAATGCTCTGTATTGCTTCTTATAACTTTAGCTAAATTGGGATTCTTGGCTTTTCACAATAGTCCCAAAAGCTGTGAATTTGCGACTTTGGTATTAGAGTTTTAGTAGATCACATAGTGGGTTTGGTCTCTTTTTGTCAGAATTCAAATGATTTGAGTGATGATGATTTTTTGAAATTTTAAGTCTTTCATCTTGTTCTGCCCTTGCTTTTGTGTGTTTCCGTAGACTTAATTGGGTACTATTGGCTTTTCCCAATAGTCTCAAAAGCTGTGAATTTGCGACATTGGTATTAGAGTCTTACAAGATTACATAAAGGGTTTGGTCTTTTTAGTTAAAACTCAAATGATTTGAGTGATGATTGTTTGTAATTTGAAGTCTTTAATCTTGTTCTGCCTTTGCTTTTGTGTGATTCCGTAGACTAAATTGGGATTATTGGCTTTTCCAAGATATTGGTCTCAAAAGCTGTGAATTTGCGACATTGGTCTTAGAGTTTTACAAGATTACATAGTGGGTTTGGTCTCTTTTTGTCAAAATCCAAATGTGATCGTTGTTTGAAATTTGAAGTCTTTAACCTTGTCCTCCGTTTTTGTTGGTGTGTTTTCCGTAGACTACGAGTGTCAGTTACTCGGGTGCCTATAATGCTGTGGGAGAGAACAACAGTGTGAAGCTAGAAAGCTTCTCTGAGAATTTCAGAGTCGAAGTGATTAGTACTTCACCAGACGGTATGGAATTGGAATTCGATATGATCGGTATCGATGCAGCAATCGCCAATGCTTTCCGAAGGATCCTTCTAGCTGAGGTTTGTATGTAAAAACACAATCTCACAAACTCTTGAGTCATGATGATTCTTATAATCTTTGGTTTCAAAGGTGTTTTCTTTTCATTGCAGGTTCCTACAATGGCCATTGAAAAAGTGTTTGTAGCAAACAACACATCGATTGTTCAAGACGAAGTTCTTGCTCACAGGATGGGTCTTATTCCAATCGTCGCAAACCCGAGGATCTTTGAATATTTGTCCGGTAAGAAAACATTCAGTGGGAACTTGATCCATCTCTGTAAGCAAATATAGATGTGTCTCAGTTTATTTATTAAATTTGTTATGCTCTGTGTCATAGAGAACGATCAGCCTAATGAAAAGAACACCATTGTTTTCAAACTCCATGCGAAATGTGCAAAAGGTGAAGTACGTCGCAAAGGTAAATACACACTTCTTCAGTTCTTTGGTTAGAATCAGAAAGATTCCTTAATTGTGTTAGCTCTATCGCTCATAAAAGGTGTTAAAGTTTTGTTTGTTTTCTTGTAGTTTTAACGAACGAATTGATTTGGTTACCAAATGGGAGTGAGTTGGTTAAAGAATCGGGAGTTTCAACCTCAAAGCCTAAGACTTTCACTTCATTCTGCCGAAGCCAAGACTCGTTCCCCGAATTTGCTGATAATCCTATCGCTCCGAGCTATCCTGATATCTTGATAGCAAAACTCGGCCCTGGTCAGGTACTGTTTTCTCTATTTCTTAGTTGTTAAGACGACGATGACGATGAGAGATGAAACCAAAAGACTTAATTTTTTTATCTTCTTTGTTTTGTAGGAAATTGAGCTCGAGGCTCATGCGGTTAAGGGCATTGGTAAAACTCATGCAAAGTGGTCACCAGTAGCGACTGCTTGGTATCGAATGCTTCCTGAGGTGAGAAGTTTGTACCTCAATCTATCATGCTTCCTTTGCAAAAAAAAAGGAACTTTCTTTTTGTCTTGACTTATCCTAATCTTTCTTTGTAATGGCTTTAGGTGATTCTACAAAAGGAATTTGAGGGTGAACAAGCTCAAAAACTCGTAAGAGCATGCCCAGCGAAAGTTTTTGACATTGAAGACATGGGCAATGGTAAAGTACAAGCCTTTACAAGATTCTTTAAAAAAATCTTCAAGTTCTTCTTACTTGCTTTTGAGTTGCTGATGAAACTTGAGAGCATTTGGATGCAATTCGATTATCATATTGACGTTGAGAAAGTGGAAAACAGGGAGGAAAAGGACAAAGGTAGCAAGGCCGCGTGACTGCACGTTGTGTAGGGAATGCTTAAGAGAAGAATTTGGAGAACCAAAACCAAAAGCAAAAGGAGAAGACAAAAGTAAAAGAGAATGGATAGACAATGTGGCTCTGCGTCGTGTCAAGAACCATTTTATATGTAAGAAGGAAAAAAAACAGAACTTTTTTTACTCTTGGCGATTCATGATCTGATCTGAAAGAAAGGCTTATTGAGTTTGTTGTTTTATTTGTGTTTTTTCTCAGTTAAAATTGAGTCAACTGGATCACTGCCTCCGGATGTTCTCTTCACTGAAGCTGTGAAGATATTGGAAGATAAGTGTGAACGTGTAATAGCTGATCTCTCCTGAAAAGAGTTTTGATTGGTTTAGCTCTCTCTACAGGCATGGTTCTCGTTTAGTTCAATTTTGTGTTTTGTATCAAAGTTTATCCTTATTAAAAGACGAACGTTGAATTTAAATTATACTTTGTAGTTTTGATTGATTCGATAACAGTTAAAACAAAGGTACTAGCTGGTTCAGCTTGGAAATTTGTTTCGGTTAATTGGTTTCAAATCGATTAATAAGAAGGAAAATAAACTCGATAGAAAAAGAAAATAAAAGATTTGCAGCTTTGGATCATCAACTAATCTGGCAACAAGGCGCGAGCTCTATTGTAAATATGAATTATAATGGGACACGATAAAACAACTAGCACCAGTGGTCTAGTGGTAGAATAGTACCCTGCCACGCTACAGACCCGGGTTCGATTCCCGGCTGGTGCAAATGAGCTGTGAGGAAATTGGCTTTAGCGTTGGTTGGGTCCATCGCATCCTTCTGAGTACTCGGATGTGATAAAGCCTCGTCTGAGCTCTTAATTTCTTATACCTTTTTTTTTTTCTATATGTATGAAGAAAAAAGTCGGTAAAACTGAGGAATGCTTTAAGAATCAAGTTTTTTTATCTGTCACATCCAGCTATATCAAGAGTAAAAGTTTATAGTTTAAAAAGCATATCAAAACTTATCACCGATTATAGTGATCAAGAGCAACGTGGATTCAAAGTGGAATGAAGAATTTCAAAACCTCTGAACATTGCAAAGAAGAAGATTGAAAGGTTGTACTCACTTGCTTCTCACTAATCACGACCTCCCACAACTACAGTGACCAGTCAAAGAAACCATTCGCCACCGTGGAGAGGCAGTTCTTGACTAGTTGTGACCACTCAAGATTTGTCAAGTCATAACTTAATTTGTTGGTACGTGTCCCATAGGGGCCCTTTTGCCTAATTTGGTTCGTTTGTGTGTTTCTCCGCTGATATATATTCTGAAAATTTGGTTTGGTTTTCACAGAATAACGCTTTGCGTGATAAAAATATTTACGACAGCACATACTTTTTCTGAAGCCCTAAAACCTCTATCTCTGCTTGTCATTGGCTGTTACAAGTTCAGACTTTTAACGGCAGCACTGATATAACTTCTTGAGAAAACAGAGAGGCATAGAAGGTGAAACTACCAAATATTTATAGCAAAAACAAAGGAAACTTCAGAGTATTAGGTGTGGTGATTATGTAGACAGAGGAATAGTAACGTTAGTTTATGAATGACGACATATAGTAACGTTGGTTCTGTTTTTGGTTTCAAAATGCTTAAACAAATAATTATACTGATGCATCTTCTTATTTTATTTTTATTAAAGTTTACAAAAGGGAAATTTGCTAATTAGGGTTTCCAATCCGTATTTGATGGATAAATTAATCAAAGAGGAGCACGTGAGAGTGGCATGTGCTAACTTAATTACCGTCCTTTAGGCTTAATGCCCTTATGACCTGATCTTTAATTTATCCCACATCGGATAATTAGTATCCGAGACACAAGTATATATATCGTTGCTAATAATAATTAGGATAATAACTCGTGGAACATGGTGGCTTGGGGCTATACGGTTTGCTTAATCAAGAGACCCAAGTGATCACAAACCGGTCCATATTTTTTTTGGCAAAGGGAACTAGGGGCAAGTTTGTCTCTCGACAAGTGGTCTTGGTCGATGTTGGGATAGTTTTCTTTATTCTGGTTTAAAAGTGTAAATTACAACACTAAATTTGATATAAGCCTTAACCGGAGCTGTGCAATCATTAAATCGAAACCGGAGGCAGTATTTGAAAACCGGTCCATACTCCTTCTGGCAAAGGGAACTAGGGGCAAGCTTGTCTCTCGACAAGTGGTCTTGGTCCATTCTCGTGGACACATCGAGCGGTTGTATGATCGAGCCAATAATAGTTAGGATAACAACTCGTGGGACATGGTGGCTTAGGGCTATACGGTTTGCTTAACCAAGAGCCCCAAGTGATCACAAACCGGATAATAACTCGTGGAACATGGTGGCTTGGGGCTATACGGTTTGCTTAACCAAGAGACCCAAGTGATCACAAACCGGTCCATACTTTTTTTGGCAAAGGGAACTAGGGGCAAGTTTGTCTCTCGACAAGTGGTCTTGGTCGATGTTGGGATAGTTTTCTTTATTCTGGTTTAAAAGTGTAAATTACAACACTAAATTTGATATAAGCCTTAACCGGAGCTGTGCAATCATTAAATCGAAACCGGAGGCAGTATTTGAAAACCGGTCCATACTCCTTCTGGCAAAGGGAACTAGGGGCAAGCTTGTCTCTCGACAAGTGGTCTTGGTCCATTCTCGTGGACACATCGAGCGGTTGTATGATCGAGCCAATAATAGTTAGGATAACAACTCGTGGGACATGGTGGCTTAGGGCTATACGGTTTGCTTAACCAAGAGCCCCAAGTGATCACAAACCGGTTCATACTCCTTCTGGCAAAGGGAACTAGGGGCAAGCTTGTCTCTCGATAAGTGGTCTTGGTCGATGTTGGGATAGTTTTCTTTATTCTGGTTTAAAAGTGTAAATTACAACACTAAATTTGATATAAACCTTAACCGGAGCTGTGCAATCATTAAATCGAAACCGGAGGCAGTATTTGAAAACCGGTCCATACTCCTTCTGGCAAAGGGAACTAGGGGCAAGCTTGTCTCTCGACAAGTGGTCTTGGTCCATTCTCGTGGACACATCGAGCGGTTGTATGATCGAGCCAATAATGGTTAGGATAAAAACTCGTGGGACATGGTGGCTTGGGGCTATACGGTTTGCTTAACCAAGAGCCCCAAGTGATCACAAACCGGTTCATACTCCTTCTGGCAAAGGGAACTAGGGGCAAGCTTGTCTCTCGACAAGTGGTCTTGGTCGATGTTGGGATAGTTTTCTTTATTCTGGTTTAAAAGTGTAAATTACAATACTAAATTTGATATAAGCCTTAACCGGAGCTGTGCAATCATTAAATCGAAAACCGGAAGCAGTATTTGAAAACCGGTCCATACTCCTTCTGGCAAAGGGAACTAGGGGCAAGCTTGTCTCTCGACAAGTGGTCTTGGTCCATTCTCGTGGACACATCGAGCGGTTGTATGATCGAGCCAATAATGGTTAGGATAACAACTCGTGGGACATGGTGGCTTGGGGCTATACGGTTTGCTTAACCAAGAGCCCCAAGTGATCACAAACCGGTTCATACTCCTTCTGGCAAAGGGAACTAGGGGGAAGCTTGTCTCTCGACAAGTCGTCTTGGTCGATGTTGGCATAGTTTTCTTTATTCTGGTTTAAAAGTGTAAATTACAACACTAAATTTGATATAAGCCTTAACCGGAGCTGTGCAATCATTAAATCGAAACCGGAGGCAGTATTTGACGTTGGAACAAGAAAAAAAGGATTCATCCTTCAAATTTGGAAAAGTGATCACAAATCGATCCATACTCCTTCTGGCAAAGAGAACTAGGGGCAAGCTTGTCTCTCAACAAGTGGTCTTGGTCCATTCTCGTGGACACATTGATCGAGCCAATAATGGTTAGGATAACAACTCGTGGAACATGGTGGCTTGGGGCTATACGGTTTGCTTAACCAAGAGCCCCAAGTGATCACAAACCGGTCTATACTCCTTTTGGCAAAGGGAACTAGGGGCAAGCTTGTCTCTCGACAAATGGTCTTGGTCCATTCTCGTGGACACATCGAGCGGTTGTATGATCCCATGAGTGCCAATTTTTGTACACAGGGATGTTGAGATAGTTTTCTTTATTCTGGTTTAAAAGTGTAAATTACAACACTAAATTTGATATAAGCCTTAACCGGAGCTGTGCAATCATTAAATCGAAACCGGAGGCAGTATTTAACGTCGGAACAAGAAAAAAGGATTCATCCTTCAAATTTGGAAATTTGATTAGTCTCTTGGTTGTGTTCGTCTTGGTGTTGCGAAGCTGTAAATATTATTACTCTTCACAGTATTAGTTTCATAACTCTCATCTTCCAATTCATCAATGATGTAGCGTGTGACACAAGTACACCTGTTGCACTGTCAAGGACTATTTTATATGTAAGAAGAGAGAAGAAAAAAAAACATTATTTTTACTCGGCAAGATTTTATTATTTGATAGAAAGGCTTATTGAGTTTGTTGTTTTATTTGTGTTTTATAAATTGAGTCAACTGAATCACTGCCTCCGGATGTTCTCTTCACTGAAGCTGTGAAAGATATTGGAAGATAAGTGTGAACGTGTAATCGCTAATCTATTCTGAAAAAAGTTTTTAATTGGTTTAGCTCTCTAATGGCATGGTTCCGGTTTAGTTCAATTTTGTGCAACTTATTAATAGGAAGAACACGTTGAAGTTAAATAAACTTTGTAGTTTTGGACCTTTGGTTCAATTTGGATTTCAATCATCGCAATTCGAAACAGCTGAAACAAAGTTACTAGCTGAAATTTGTTTCGGTTAATCGGTTTTAATCGTTTAAAATAAAATCGATACAACAAGAAAAAAATAAAAGATGCAGCTTTGCATCATCAACTAATTTGGCAATATGTATTCCAAGTAATGAGCTTTGTTATTTTTAAATATCTAATATAATGTGTCAAGATAGAACAATTAGCACCAGTGGTCTAGTGGTAGAATAGTACTCTGCCACGGTACAGACCCGGGTTCGCTTCCCGGCTGGTGCAAGTGAGCTATGAGGAAATTGGCTTTAGCGTTGGTTGGGTCATTCGCACTCTTCTGAGTTAACTCCAGATATAAGGCCTTGTACTGAGCTCTTTCTTTTTTTTTTCTGTTCTTCTATGAAATGATCTAAAGAACCAAGTGGTTTCATATAATTGACATTCCAAGACTACATAAGTCATTTGCGCTTACCCAAAACTACATAAGTCCTAAAATTCTATATAGAATATTTCACGAAAGTGCATCGGATTATGGTGAAACCGTATAAACACCTCCAATAAGTTTCAGAATTGGTAACTACAACTTCTTTATTCACCATCAAGAGAAAACGATCGATTTTGATCTTCTGCATCACGTTTCGTAGAAGTTTTGAGTTTAAGCTTGTCGTAATTAATTCCTGATGAGATTGAAATCTCTCTCCCACGCCATTGGCTTCATCATCAAGAATGAGGATTTGACTGAGGGGAAGCCAAACATGGCTGTTGAACCAGAAAATCACCATTAGGGTTTGATTAACAATTGTGGGTTTCAAAGAATAAGGTCTTTCTATTAATAGCAATA